TACAAGATGCAGTGGTCATTAAGGGTAGTAAAACAGTGGTTTACAAGAAGCCCAAATAAAACCTAGGGCTGTCCCAAGCAGGATGACCTGTGGCGAGTCCATGGGTAAACATTCTCAGTGCACAGGGAAAGATGGGAGTGACAGCCTAAACCAGAAGAGGGCAAATCTGTGAATAAATCCAAGCAAGCAACATTGCCTGTGTTTTCACGCATCTTGGTCCTTCATGCGTGTTTGAATTAGGACCATGCTTCTCTCCCACCCACTTTAAGTTCTTTTAATCATTTGAAACTTACATAAAATATAGAGTAAAACTATTTGAAGAAATGTTCTCTCGTACTGTGTGTTGTCTAAGGAAACCTCCATGTTACGATTAGATCTGTTATGGTTAGTTCTTTAACAATTTATTTCAGTGGGAAAACTGCCACTAGATTTAATAGCAACAGGGCCTGAACTAAATTTCCATGAATCATTTCAGGACAGATTACCATTCAGGGATATTGGCATCTTACCAAATGACTGTCTCATTTAGATCATAAGGCAGACTGTTCCATGTTATATCCAGTCTCATGGATGTGGTCTTGAAAGGAACCTGAGACTTGGATATCATAACTTTGGTGAAACAACCTTAATACTTTAACACATTATGCTACTATAATGAATTATCTTTTGGGAGAAAATGTTCTCACATGCCCTATAAAATAAAAATTTACGCTAGACCTATTTCTGTAGTGTGGCTATAGCTCCGTGTCTCTCCTTGAGGTAAATCTATTAATGTAAGAAAGATCTACTTGATAAAATCTAAATGTAAGCACCCTGTGTTATTCCATACTAAAAGACATTTCCAAGACGGTGAATGAAATGTCCTTGCTTGAAACTGCATTTTGAAACCGAGGCCTTTGTTGCATAAACATAAACATTCAGCAGCAGTAGCAGTCACCAGCTGAACAAAGTGTCTTTGGGAGGCATTTGGGCAGGCTCATGGTAGTGTAGGAGTAGGGACCCACTGATGCTGGGGACCTACCTGCAGGGGCTGGTGCCTGGGCATGGTGTAAATTTGCTGTCTAATTGCCCCAAGGGCAGCACCTGGAGAGCTGTGAGCACTGCTTGGGCAGTCGGCACGGACACTGGTGGGCTAGTGCACGTGTAGGTGCCTGGGATGGTTTATAGGCTCCTGTTCGCCATTTGTACTCTCCTTCTGGCTCTTCTGCAAGTTTCCTGTGCCATCGTTGGATCTTGGCTGCTTCTGGGAAGGCTGATCCTGACAAAGATATGTTAAGCATGCCTTTAACAACAGCTTGAGCCCCAGCTACACAGGAGGAGGGGTGCTAGGAGACCGTGATGCAGAAGGCTGGGGACCTGTGAGTCCTGGCAGTAAGAAAATAGTTCCTCCTCCTCCACTCTCAGGTCTGCAACTGCAGAATAGGTTTAGGGGTCTGAAGGCAGGTGGAGGAGGACACAAGATTCAGTGACAGCAGCCATAGGTAAGACATTAAATGCTTTGTTTGCTTCACTGTCTACAAACAAGGACTCCTAGGTCCCCAAAGTTAGTGCAAAGATTCAAGGAGAACTACCAGCAATAGCTAAGGACTGAGTGAAGGGATTACTTGTGAAAACTTGAGCCATAGAAGTCTATGAGACCAGATAGGTGGCGCCTCAGGATGCTGAGAGAGATGGCCAATGCCTTTGCAAGGCTGCTGTCTTTCATTTTTGAAAGGCTGTGAAGATTTGGGGATGATGCCCTCATGATGTCAGAATGACAAGTATTTTACCTGTGTTCAAGATAACCCAAAAGTTCAGTTTATAGAACTACAGGTCAGTCAATCTCACTTCAGTTACTGGGAAAATCATGAAGTGAGTCCTCTTGGAACAGATTTCTGGGCACATGAAGGAAAAGGTGGTTATATTATCATGGATTGACCAGAGGTAAACTGTGCCTGACTGACCTGATTGCCTTCTATGCAGAAATGTATGGGTTTGTGGTTAAGGAGGGAGCAGTGGATACTATTTCCCTTTACTCTAGCAAGGCTTTTGATACTGTCTTGCATTGTGTTCTTGTTTCCAAAAGAAGATGGTACAGTTTAGAGGCTGAACAACAAGATGGTAAAATGAGTGTTGGGCTGGTTGGCCTTAGAGGGTGGAGGCCTAAGAAGGAGAGCACTGCAGGGTCTATCCCTAGAACTGGCCTGTTTAACATTTCCATAAATGACAGGACACAATAAGGTGTACTTTCAACAGAATTGCAGATGTTGACAAACTGGAATAGTCAGGGCTGACCACTGCTGCTGTGAGGCTCCACAACTGTGGCTTGTTTATCCTGGAGATGAGGGGACTTTGCAGGCACCTAACAGCATGCCCCTTACTCCCTGACCCCCACAACTCCAGGAGATCATTGAGAAGATGGAGTTGTGATCTTCACAACTGTGCATGGTGGACAAGAAACGACTGGCATAAGCTGAAACAAGGGAATTCATACTGGATATGAGGAAATACCTTTTCACCATGAGGAGAGTGGGGTAGTGGCACAGGGCTGCCCAGAGGGGTTGCACAGCCTTGATCCCTGGAGGTTTTTAAGACCTGAGTAGAGAAATGCCCAAGCATGTGGTTTGAGCTCACAGCTGAGTCCACCTTCATCAGGGGGCTGGTCCAGAGAACTGCTGAGATCCCTTCTGAGTTGAACAATCCTTGATTCTTATGATCTCATAGATACAACTCCAGTTTGGCTTGGTGTTTTCCTGAGAAGCAACATGTTGATAAAGGTTTTCTTTAGCCAATTCTATTTAAAGATGCCTTGGCCTTGTAACAATCTTTCTTAAAACAACTTTTTTGCTGGCTTCTCTCCTCCACCCTCCAAAAGCAAGGTTATTCTTTACAGCAACAGACAAAAGACTTATTGAAAGAAATGTCACTGATGATGAGCAGTGAATCAGGGCAGTCTTTAGTGTGTTCTTACCTTCTGAAGAAGGTCACTGGTGATAATGTAAGGTATATAGTGGATGTAGACAATACACACACTTAATTATCCCAGACAAAGCCAAGATCACAGAAGCATATAATGAGCTATCTCTCGAATTTTTACAAATGGCTGACTTGACACAACATAAGGATATTTTACAGGCTTCTGCAATAATGTAGAAGAATGCATGCTTTCCATGCAACAGAGCAAAACTGTGAAGTTGTAAAAACTGAGAACCTATGTACTGCTAAGAAACACACTCAAGAATCTGCTGGAATGTAACAGTATTCACATTACGCTTATTAAAAAATCATTTGGTGTCTGCACATATTTCATGTAACTCAGGAAGTAGCTATTATCATTATTCATGTTTTCACACTGGGTCCACTGTGCTAGGTACAGTATTTTTCATAGTAATACAGTGTATAGTATTTCTACAGAAAGGTTAAGGCGAGCAAATACAGATTTTTATCTGGCATATGAAGATGGAAAAGAGGCTGAGATGAACAGGAATCTATCTACTCATTTAGGAAGAATAAAATTCCTCTGGTGGAGTGTTTTACGCAACAAGCAGCACACTTCTGACAGCAGCTTGTCCTGAGCAGCATCTGTGGTTCCCTCTGAGTTCCATTGCTTGTACTTCATTAAGTGGTACCACTCAGTGAGATTAAGAATGAAAAAATCCATCTCTCTGGGATTTTTAGGTTTTGTTTTCACTAGTTGATACTAAAGTCTGCACTCAACCACTTTGATTTGCAAGATAAATTACTGCTCATTTCAACCTAGAAGGAAAGTGTGGTTCAGAGAGGCTAATTTTTCCATAAACTGGTGTTCTGGTCTGCTGAAACGTGGATCTGCAACAAGATGGTGTTCCAAATTTTCATTGCCTGCAGTCTGTTTCATATAACTGGGGATGGGTATGACGTGTTTTGATGCACATAAGACTGCTCTTTTTAGCGATTCATTGAAATCCATCCCAGTTTAGAAGAAGACACTTGTCTCACAGCTGTGTAGGTGCCATGTCTGAAGTGCATTGTCTTCTCAGCTCAGTTACTCTTAGTCAGGTGGTCACATCACAAAACCAGCAGAGTAACTCGCTTGAAAAAACAATCTTGTGTATGTCAGGAGGTAGGACAAAAATTAACAACATATGGAAAGAGTTACTTTTACCACAGGGATGAAAGGTACATTGGTAAAACAGGATGTGGGTAAATGTATGCTCCAGTTGTCTGTGCTGTGGTTTGTGTAAGCCTGTGTCTGACCAGGAGATTCGGGCTTACGGTGTATCCAGGTCATAGTCAGAATAATTAATGTTTGGGTGTTCTTTTTTTTGAAAATAGAAAACTATAAACCAAGCTTATAACTACAGCAGTTCATTGATTTCAGTTGTGAGATTCTGGCCTACTAGGATTCCATAGAAATTACTCTTGAATTTTGCAGAAAGTATCTTTATTTTTCATTTCACCCAGTGTCAGAAATAACAGGTACACGTTTTTCAATTTTATACATTCATATTTTCTGAAACTTTGCCTAGAACCTGAAAAATGTTAAAGAATACTGGAAAAATCTATATGCAATTTGTGAACTATCTTTGAAAAGGCTGTCTTTCTAGCTGCTACCGCTGCAAAAAGACGCCTATTGCAATGATAAGCATAAGCCTGAGTTTCTCCAAAGTACTTAACTTTAAACTATTTGATATTGTCCAAAATTCCAGAGGATTTCAGCTCAGATTAAAAATCTTTTTTTAATGTGAAAAGTCATGTAAATTGACAAATGAGTCTTATGACATCCTGTCTAGGATGACCAAGGCACGCACAGGATAAGTGTTTATCACATATCTCACACAAAGCAAGGCAATGCTTGATAAGCTGTTTTATTGGGTAATTACATTTTTTTTTTTTTTTACATTTGCAAATAAAGGAGATTGATTTCCATCTTGAAGTAATTTACTAACACATTATAAACTCATCAAACGCTAACATGGTACAGTACGCCTCATTTCCTGTTTACTAAATAATCTTCTGGCTGTCTGCTTTGTACCTTTCAGGTTGAACCTGGAATTGTTCTCTGCCAGGGACATCATGGAGATTGGCGTCAGAGTCCTTCACCTGAAGGAGAACATTGCCTCCTTGGCTTGACTTCATGCAAGTACAAGCCATGGTGGATCCCCAGTGGTTTGCAGTCCCAGGCCAGAACACCCAGAGGTGCTCCAGGGTACTAATAAAAGGCAAAAAAGCTATCAAATTGATGTCATATCATGTTTCTGGCTATTTATCAGATTTTTTTTCTTTAAGCATCTGTTTGTGAAGATTATTTGGGATGTACGTGAAACTTGTTCCTACTTTCTTTAGCATGAACAGCAGGTGTCCTTTAAAGAAAGGACCAAGGTCCTTTCCAGTACAAGGTTGCCTAGTGCATCAGGGGTTTATTGAAACAGCACCAATGAAGTGATCTTATGGGAACTGTAGAAAAAGGGATAAATGCCCTTTAGAGACTTAAAGGTTCACTGAAACAGTAATTTAAAAGGATTTGAATGCAGTTACTCATGACATTTCCCATGCCAATTCAAAGCTGGCCTGCTCTTTCTTCACATTTTTTTCATTTTATTAGTGTATGCTTTTACAGGAAATGAGTTAACATAAATCATATCACAGACAAGATAAGCAACAAAGTCACTGGAAGTAACATGCTAGGGTAAACAAGAATTAGACTGAAGGAATTCTTGCCATATGGGGCACTCTCAAAAGGCATATAAAATCTCCTGATAAATGAAGTATTTATGGTACTGTATTTCATATGACTGCAAGAGTGAATTCATCCTTTCAGGAAGGTATATTAAGACTGTTCTTTGAGTGGAGGGTCATGAGTGGGAGAGGCAGTGACTTCATTTCCACCTTGAGCATCCTGGAGGAAAGGAGAAGATGCATATGGAACTCCTACTGCATTGGAGTTGACACAGCAAAAGCCCAATGAATTATGCTGCCAACAACAATAAAACTGGCCATGTGTAATAAAAACACATGACCAGTTTTCTTTCGTAATATAATAATTTTTCATAATTTTCATAGTGTCCTTTATCCTGAATGTCTAGTACTTTACACCTTTTCCTGTACTCAATTTGTTTTTTATCCATTTCTGTTTTAATGTCTTAACTGGATGTCATTTGGGACCTACCTGTAAGCAAACAAGGATAAAAGTATTTTCTTCTATTGATCTGGAGGGTGTAAAAAGCCATCTGTGCATCATCAGTGCAAATCTGGTTAGGACTTGTCTGCTTGCCTGCTTTATAAAAATTTCCAAGGATGAACTACTGACAGCTGGTTGACACTAACTTACCTGTTAATAATAATAAGAGTGAATATTTAATAAAAATTGTGCACTTGCTTCAGTGACAAGTGAAGCAGTTTGTATAAACCTTTTAGGAAGGCAAATGAGAATTGTACAGTGGGAATTTTTTGGGTTGCAGTGGCCTGCCGAGGTAATGACATCAATAGGTGCAGTATTGTATACTTGTTCCCTTACACAGTGATGCTATCATAAACATAATTAATACAAAATGTGCTAAGGCGCTCAAACCCAAAATTTCTGAGTGATAGTCTGCAGTGTGTACCAATCTGAAGATATTATAGAACATAAACTAGTGTGCTTTTTTAGTTCTCAGCTGTCCATGGCAATAAAACTAGAAAGCACACTAACAACTGATACAAAGTTCCTTTGAAATTCCATTTACAGTCTCATAATTTCCTTATTAATTCACCAAACCCCCTTGCAGTGAGTGTCCCAGGCTGCTGAGGAGTGTGCTGAGCTCATGTAAAATGTCGTTTGCCTTGTAATGCAGAGTGAAGTGGTGTGGAAGGAAGCAAAAAGGGGGAACGGAAGGCTGATCACTAGGATATCCAAAAGAGAGGTGCCTTTAGAGAAAAGCTGATGCTCCCTGACAATTCTGGTAGGCTTGTGGTTTGCTTAATCTCTCAGAGCTCTTTCATGACACATTCTGTTAGAGCCTCTTAAAAGGGATGAAGGAAGAAGTTTGTTTCCCTAACACTTTCAGCATAAATGAGCTGTTGGTAGATTGCTTTGAATAAAACCAAGATAATATTTTAAATTGTTTACAAAGAAGCAGCAAATGGCTTTTTTTGGCTAGTCGGTTGCTCACTCCAGTGAAACCCATACAGAGTGGTTGTCTGGGAGCAAGCATTTTGCTCTGGGGTGCTCTGACAACACCTCTTTTTGCCCCAGTGTGTGCTCAGTGGCTTGAGTACTTGCATGATGAGTTCTGAGGGACCTTCTACTCAGCAGGGACCACAGGTGACTTTGCTGTTCTGCTGTTCTCACCAACACTGGGAAGGGAATGTTCTGCAGCCATGTGAAACAAACCTCCAGAAATGTGATGTGTCATGGAATTAATGTATTCATAACCATAAGCAGTTAGGAGTTTGGGTTTTCTGTCTTACTCATAAAATTGCAGATCTTGTAGCATGTAACTCTTAAGACAAATGCTGTGAACTCCTTAAAGGAGAAGGGTGCTGCTCAATGTCTTACCCTATGGGATACAATGAAATAACTACATGGAGGTGACATGAGTGCAGGCAGAAAAATGATAAATTACATTCCCATCTTGTACATCAATAATGTTAAAGTGAAGGATATGTGACTTGACTGGTGTATTTTAAAAAGGTATCTTGGGGAAGATGCAAAAAATAATTGCCATGATTTTTTTCTTCAGAGTTGCTTTGGATGTAATCATTGATTCTCAAGTGTGTGTGTGTTGTTTTTTTTCTTTCTTTTTTTCCATCTTTTTCCTCTAATGCAAAAATGTTGTTACTGGGTTAGAAAGAATGGGGCAACAAGCTAACGAAGGGAAAGAAGCAAACAATCTGGCAAGCTTGCATGAAGGCAGCAGCAGCAGCTCATAATTTTATAATACTGTTTCTCATTTATGTGTTTTTCTGTACCATTTTTTTGTCATGAAATAAGCATGGATGTAACACTGTAAATTTGGTCCAAATGTAAAAGTTATTCAGTACCTGCCCACACTTGGAAACTGTAGTGATGAGAGTTGCTATACAAGGACAAAGTGCTGTTATGTTTTGTAACACATACGAATGAATGATTCTGACCCTTTGAAGAGAAAAGGTCAGTGTCAGTTCTTACAAAAGCAAGGACTGTGGCCAAGCAATGTTGGCTGGAACTTGCACAAGCCTACAAATGCACCTGAGTGTCGGCCTGTAGCAAACACCCAGATACTCCAATTTTATTGAAGAAAACACAAACACCCATGCCCCCCCGGCCCCCAATCTTCCAGATCTACTTAGTGGGGATCAGATTTTTCTCCTACTCTTTGTGATCTGGATGGTTACCCACTGGGGATCAAGATGAGATCACCAGACATGTTTTTCCATAGGAGACCTAAATCTGAAGCTGTTATCTTCCTCAGCTGAGCAAGCAGTAGAAACTAAAAACAAAAGCAACTACTAAAGAAAACTCCTTGGCTTTAAAACTGTTAAAGAGGAAGCAAACTGCAGTTAAGAAGCAAGTTTCCAAAACAAAGATCTCCTTAGAGTAATACATTTGACACTTTGCCATAGGCAGAGCTCTGTACATGCCTGGGAAACCCTCACAGAGCTCAGAATGAGGAACGTGTGGCTGGTGAACTTGATGCTCGGCATTGATGGGGATGATTGACTTACTGTCAATCAGCGCAGAGGGTTGAGGGACTGGCTGACCCCCTTCATTTCTTCCACAGTAGTGATGATACTTGCACATCAGAATAAAACAGGCCATTCTTTTGCACTGCAGCTGAAATGCCTCCCCTGTTGCCTCCCAGTGACTGCAGGAAGGGAGGGGGGCTTTCATGAATGTGTTAGCCTGGAGCCCACTGAGAGCTATAAATGTCATGCCCGAAATGGCATGCCCTCCTGGCTAGGTGGAATTCATTCTTCAGAGCGACCTGAGGATAGGACCGCTGCCTTCCTTCCCAGGATGTTTCTGCCAGAGAAACTGCATGAGGCTGTAAATGTGTATTGAGGAGTTGTTGGGAGGTCCCTTGGCTCTCTTTTGTCTTGACTGCCCTAGTCTGCAGCTCCAGATCCTCTTCCAGAGGGAAAAGATAGAGTTATGCTTCTGCCTAATTTCTGTGAGACCAAAACTGAAAAAAGAACTGTTTTTATTTTCATTTCCACATATGTTAAAATGTATTGGTGTAGGGCCATTGTGGGGCAATGAAGTAATTCTTTGACATGATGAAGAGATTAGACATATCATCACTTGTGTTTTGCTGCTCCAACTTCTTTGCCAGAGGTTATTTTATAATGTAAACCACAATAAAACCAGAAGGCATGGAGGATTTGAGGAGAGAGTCTGTAGATAATGAATTTCTTTTCCCTGGCTATGGACATGTTTGGGATATAACGTGGAGGGCGATGATACTCCATGGTCAGCAGCAATGCCTTTGCTACCATGATGTGCATCCTCTCATCCAGGATCCCTTTCCTCCACATGCATGTGTAATGGATGACAATGTGCTCTCTACCCAGGTGCTTTTCTTTCTGAGATGCTATTTATCCCTTATTTTATGTAGGTTTCCTGCATATTTGTGACTGATGAATACCATATCCTTCCCAGGCACCCTACTGGTGTTGGTGGCTTTTTTTTGCCTTTACTTCCCTTTTGTCAAGGAAAATTAAGGAGCAGCTTTTCTGTACTGCAGTTAAATCCTCCTGGTATTCATTGAAGAAAAGCAGGTGGATGCTGATGCCTTGTTAAACCAGGATCTGTCCCCTCCATGTCCTTTGAGGAGAAAATGGTGCTGTCAGAAGCTGGAGTGCTGCACAGCAATCTTAATTTCTGCCTTGAACACAGCTGTGAGACAATTTTCCTGGAAGAACTGCTAGGTTGACAAATACAACTGAGTAGCCTGTTTGGGAATTTTACCATAACAAATAAGCCATTTTGTTCACACCTGGAGTCCTCAGATCCGTACTCTACGTAACTCTCCTGTTGTAAGGCTGAGGGCTGGATTCCCTCTGTTTTCCTCTCTACTCTTACCTACACAGCTGTTAGCCATTACTCTGCATTCTGTTTGTCTATCTTTTAGCTTAAGGATTTTTTTTCTTGACTTAATTTGATTGGGATAAAGTAATTATGCAGAAACTGCAGTTATCTCTGATGGTAAGCAGAATGTAGAGACTATAACTGTCTAAGC